GTAAGTAGAAATAACAATACGTACCTGAAACCTGGCATGTTTATTAGACAGAGAAAAAAACACCAGCAATCCTACCATGAGGTTTGAGTTTCACACTCACTCATCTCACTCAACTCACCTCTCCGGGTGGTTGCTATGAAACTACTGCCTAGAATACACAAATAACCCGCACATAGGAGAGAGGAGCTTACGACGACGTTTCGGTCCGACTTGGACCATTTACAAAGTCACACTAACGAGATGAACAGCAGGAAGGGCATATATAGGCGTTAGTGTGACTTTGTAAATGGTCCAAGTCGGACCGAAACGTAAGGCTCTCTCTCCTATGTGCGGGTTATTTGTGTATCGCTCCAGTCACAGTATTGTGCCTTTTCTCGTTACATTATTAGTCATGGGAGAAGTTTCTTATATATATTGGGAAACAACCAATTCTTAACTTGAGTCAAATGTGAAAAGATGGTTCCAAAAACAATCTTCATTTTTTTTATTTTAGAATGTTTGTTAATTACTTCAACTGAATCGTCCACTGACATGTTAGTTGAGGTCTTGGAGTTAAAAGTTTCCACATTCGTCGCAAGCAGTGAGAAATCCTGGCCAAATTTCTTGAATCACTGTTTTACTCTTACACTTGTCTACCTTCAACAGGGAATCTGCAATGTATGGAATATTTATAGTTATAGACTGAAGTGGCTCCTGAATAATACTTATCTTCTAGTTTTGAGAATTCAACTGTTCCTTGCCCATTTACTCTTGAATGTGGAAGTATGGTCGAGCACTGTGGTAGAGGAAAGTTGTAATGTGGGAGGTGGTATCTGCACTTCCGTCTGTCGTCAGTAGTGCAATGCGTGTAAATCCTTGACATATGAACTTCCTCACAAGCATTATATATTTCTAGTTTCGTGGATTCATTCTAACAAAATTTTAATCTGTTTCTTGAAGCTATAGGGATTCATTATCTTCAAAGAGACTCATTTTCTGGTATCTAATATGTGACGTGGTATCATAACCCACAATCGCGTGTACAGTTTAAAATGTCGTTTTTTTATTTATTTATTTATTTATTTTATTTTTTGCCTCTTATTGACGTTCTCTCGACTAGACTGAAAGAACGTTTGCTAAAATAGCATAATGACACAGTACAACCAACAGAACTGTGTATTTTCCTATGATTTTTTTATCGGCAAAACAAAGTGCTGTCTGTACAGTCATTATATCTACAACAAAGTGCTGTCTGTACAGTCATTATATCTACAACAAAGTGCTGTCTGTACAGTCATTATATCTACAACAAAGTGCTGTCTGTACAGTCATTATATCTACAACAAAGTGCTGTCTGTGCAGTCATTATATCTACAACAAAGTGCTGTCTGTACAGTCATTATATCTACAACAAAGTGCTGTCTGTACAGTCATTATATCTACAACAAAGTGCTGTCTGTGCAGTCATTATATCTACAACAAAGTACTGTCTGTGCAGTCATTATATCTACAACAAAGTGCTGTCTGTGCAGTCATTATATCTACAACAAAGTGCTGTCTGTGCAGTCATTATATCTACAACAAAGTGCTGTCTGTACAGTCATTATATCTACAACAAAGTGCTGTCTGTGCAGTCATTATATCTACAACAAAGTGCTGTCTGTACAGTCATTATATCTACAACAAAGTGCTGTCTGCACAGTCATTATATCTACAACAAAGTGCTGTCTGTACAGTCATTATATCTACAACAAAGTGCTGTCTGTACAGTCATCATACCTACAACAAAGTGCTGTCTGTGCAGTCATTATATCTACAACAAAGTGCTGTCTGTACAGTCATTATATCTACAACAAAGTGCTGTCTGTACAGTCATCATACCTACATCTTCTGGAGCATCAAGGGTCCTACTTGTTATAATTTCTATCCCAAAGTGAAGACAAATCTTTGTTTATTGAAGACACTTGTCTGAAAAAAATGTTCCTTCCGAGTTTCACCTGTGCTGCAGCACACCAAATGATCGTCTTAGGTGTGTGGTATCCTTGCTCACTGCTCCTGCTACATATCCATCGACCATAATGGTGCATTGGTCGAAATATCTACAGCAAAATTCCACATGTATGTAGCAACACTCTGCGTAGTATAGAGCCACCTTCAGGTACATACTTCATTTCCTCTCCAATTGGACCAGTCATGACCAGTCATGCAAGTTTGGTACTAATTCCTCTAGGAATTTCCAAGTGAATGTTATCATGTATCTTTCTCGCCTGCGTTCCAGGGAATACAAATCAAGGGACTTAAACCTTTCCCAGAAATTTAGGTGCTTTATCACACTTATGTGTGCCGTCAAAGTTCTCTTTACTTGCAACAGTTTGGTAGCCAGTGAGGTAGCCAGTGAGGTAGCCAGTGAGGTAGCCAGTGAGGTAGCCAGTGAGGTAGCCAGTGAGGTAGCCAGTAAGGTAGCCAGTGAGGTAGCCAGTGAGGTAGCCAGTGAGGTAGCCAGTGAGGTAGCCAGTGAGGTAGCCAGTGATGTAGCCAGTGAGGTAGCCAGTGAGGTAGCCAGTGAGGTAGCCAGTGAGGTAGCCAGTGAGGTAGCCAGTGAGGTAGCCAGTGAGGTAGCCAGTGAGGTAGCCAGTGAGGTAGCCCGTGAGGTAGCCAGTGAGGTAGCCAGTGAGGTAGCCAGTGAGGTAGCCAGTGAGGTAGCCAGTGAGGTAGCCAGTGAGGTAGCCAGTGAGGTAGCCAGTGAGGTAGCCAGTGAGGTAGCCAGTGAGGTAGCCAGTGAGGTAGCCAGTGAGGTAGCCAGTAAGGTAGCCAGTGAGGTAGCCAGTGAGGTAGCCAGTGAGGTAGCCAGTAAGGTAGCCAGTGAGGTAGCCAGTGAGGTAGCCAGTGAGGTAGCCAGTGAGGTAGCCAGTGAGGTAGCCAGTGAGGTAGCCAGTGAGGTAGCCAGTGAGGTAGCCAGTGAGGTAGCCAGTGAGGTAGCCAGTGAGGTAGCCAGTGAGGTAACCAGTTAGGTAACCAGTGAGGTAACCAGTGAGGTAACCAGTGAGGTAACCAGTGAGGTAACCAGTGATGTAACCAGTGAGGTAACCAGTGAGGTAACCAGTGAGGTAACCAGTGAGGTAACCAGTGAGGTAACCAGTGAGGTAACCAGTGAGGTAACCAGTGAGGTAACCAGTGAGGTAACCAGTGAGGTAACCAGTGAGGTAGCCAGTGATGTAGCCACTACATGTAGGCGAGGGGTTCCGTCCGTCTCGCTCACATATATATACCGGCTCCCTCACTCTCTTGTGCTATTGTGACTTTGTAAATGGTCCAAGTCGGACCAAAACGTCGTCGTAAGCTCCTCTCTCCTATGTGCGGGTTATATGTGTATTGTTTCAGTCACAACACTATGCCTTTTGTTTTTTCGTTTGGTAAAGTTGATTACATCTTCACTTCCCTCCTACATCTTCTGCCTCTATATTTGACTAAGTCTACTATGTAGGCGAATCGTGTCAATCACAACAAAGGTACCCAAGTATTGCACATGTGCAGACTTTTAAACTTGTTGGTTATATATCATTTATAACTCTCTAATTACCTCCTTAGTGTATGCAATATCAATCCACCTCAATCACTGCATGAGTAGGTTTACTGGTGACCGTGATATATATCACAGGATTCTTCTGTACCGCAAACATTCAGAGGCATATACCATATTAATATCAAGACGTCAGGTTGATCATCTCTTTTGAGAAAACGAAGAAATTTAATAGGCACCTTTCCTGATGGAGGCACATTCTGTAGGAGTCATTTGTATAATGGATTCCGGCTCGATGATGTGACTAGATGCACATATCTGGAATTTAAGGTACCTCTTTTGGGTCTTCTTGTAACCAGATATTATCTTATCGCCTTTAATAGGAGACGATAAGAGCACTAAGAACCCTGGCAGAATTTCATTTCTATTATGGTGCTAATGTGAAATTTAAAATATGATATATTGATATTGTTTGCCTGATATAAATTCTTTAATAGTGTCAACCAGAAAGCAAGTAGACCTTGGAAACTGCTATACTAATTGCACTGAGATGTTTCTATATACCTAGATGTGACAACTAAATTGCAAATGTTTCTCTGTCATACGTAAATTCTCTTAACTTTCTATCAGATTTTATTTAGTCGTGTTAGATGTCATTCACAAGTATGTCAGGATTGTAGACATTGGAATAAAATGCACCACACAATCGATGAATTGGCCACAGCTTATGTCTTCAAGGACCTGGAAGGAATTGCACTTTTGATTTGAGGACTATTCAAAAAGGACTTCAGCTAAACGTCATTAACTTGAGGAAGAGGGAGACTAACCAGTCTGACTAATCATTTTCCTGTCATTAAGGAACAATCATGTTTGTCGTGCATCCAACAAAATCAGCAGAGGTTTAAATGTCACAATCGTGCGGCCTCAGTTGGGTTACAAGTACCTCTGTGAGTTTTCACTACAGCCTGATGAAGATTTAAATAATTGTGAACTTTGTCACAGGAACTAAGGTCACGTTCTGCCTCACTTTGGTTTTGATTGCGAGAAAAAAGTGAATTCATAGACAACTCAGAAAAAATTTAAGAAATAAGGATGTATTTTATGTACATTGGCATATTACCAGCAAATCTAGGAAAATTTGTTGTACTTGTTTAGTGCTAATAAATTATAATCACCACTTTGCCTAAATACAACCATAATTTGCTGTATATAGATAGTGTCGAGAAGCCTTAACAATACATAAATTATACTGTAATTGTTATGTGACTTGAGTTCATGACTGCGTAAACAATTCATGCGATTTTACCAGTCATAAATTTGTAAATATTTAATTACTACTGTAATTATATTGGCTATAAAAATGTTGAAGCCGCTTGAAATGACACACAAACTGATCATTTCTTCCCGCTCAGGGTCATCAGTTCCAGAATAGACCATAACACTCACAGTGGTTGTTAGTCCCCATGTGGTTAACTAATTAACATATGCTCCTTTTTCTCAGAGTCATCAGTACCAGAGAAGCCCTCGGCCCTAACTGTGGTTTCCAGTTCCCCGGTATCTAACATGTATCTGGCACAGTCAGACACCAAGCTCTCAGAGGAGCACACTTCCACTCCCACACACTCACGCTCTGAGATAACACCCACGGAGGAGACCAAGGTGCGGGCTGCACATGCTCTCAACAGACTGAGTAGAGACTCTGGCCAGACCTTTATACCTGACCCAGTAAGTCCAACATTAGATGGGAGTTAAAATGAGAGTGTGCCCCTGTATGCATATATGTGTACTCATTTATTTTTTATTGTGGTAGGCGAGTAAGAGTTCCTGTCCCTGCCTCTTAGGTGAGTATGACTCGTATCACTTCTTTCTTGTTCATTGACTCTGTTATACCTATCCGTGAAGCTGTGTTTAGCGTTTACTACTGCATGCTGCATATGAGTTCTCACTTATGCATTCAGGGCAACGATTGTGATTGGTCACTAGAGTGACGTAGATGGACAAAAGTGAAGTCTTCCATGCTATTTTACCTCAGCTAATTTCAAAATCCTCGCTTTTCCCACAACAGTTTTACAACATCAAGATGCCCATTTGTTGCTATTAGTAGAGGTCTCATACATAAGACTCACAAGAACGTTTCAATGTCCCCGGGAATAGAGCCTCAGGGAACCTAGGGAAGGACGGTCTGCCACTGACTACCTAGTCTTCTGGTGTGGGATTTCATCTGTCAGTTTTCTGTATCTTGGTTGGCAGCATCCTTGTAAGTGGAGATCGAGTGTCTCCGCACTTTATAACTGGTCACACTTGCTTTCCTGGAGCTACTTATCATGGAGTGATGTCGAGAGGAAGTTCGAGGTTGGGCGGAAGACTACACAGAAAATCTGATGAATAAGTTGGCCGAAGTGTCAAAACTTCTCTTCTCAGAAAAGAGTTGTTAAGGTTTATCAATTTTAATGGGCTCTCTCTTATAAGTGATTTTTTTCTTCCTTTCCCATATGACACGAAGATAATACAATCCTAGTTTCTCACCCACTAGCAAGGTGTTTCTCAAAGATTTCTCACGTACCAGACTGTGAATATATTTCAATAGCAAATTTCTCACCTGTATTTGTACACCCAGAACATCAACATAAATTCAATGAAAACTTTAATATCTTAGTATATTCTTAAGTTGATTTCGTATCCTACCACACAAAGTACAATGGAGTAATTTTATTTAGACTCAAAATAATAAATCATTACTTCTTCCTTCTAATCCTCTCTCTCTCTCTATCTGTCTGTCTGTATGTCTGTCTCTCTGTCTGTCTCTCTGTCTCTCTGTCTGTCTCTCTCTCTCTATTTATCTATCTATCTATCTATCTATCTTTGTTTGTCTGTCTCTCCCTCTCTCTGTAAACAAAGAGAGAGAGAGATTCCTAACATTATTTACAAGCTAAACGCTGCTACATACATCAGCTAATTTTAAAGTTTTTAGTGTTATGACATCATTCACACAGGAACAGGATGAACAATGTTGGAGCTATGGGAGAGCCAGTGACATCATTCACACAGGGAAGAGGATGAACAATGTTGGAGCTATGGGAGAGCCAGTGACATCATTCACACAGGGAAGAGGATGAACAATGTTGGAGCTATGGGAGAGCCAGTGACATCATTCACACAGGAACAGGATGAACAATGTTGGAGCTATGGGAGAGCCAGTGACATCATTCACACAGGAACAGGATGAACAATGTTGGAGCTATGGGAGAGCCAGTGACATCATTCACACAGGGAAGAGGATGAACAATGTTGGAGCTATGGGAGAGCCAGTGACATCATTCACACAGGAACAGGATGAACAATGTTGGAGCTATGGGAGAGCCAGTGACATCATTCACACAGGAACAGGATGAACAATGTTGGAGCTATGGGAGAGCCAGTGACATCATTCACACAGGGAAGAGGATGAATAATGTTGGAGCTATAGGAGAGCCAGTGACATCATTCACACAGGGAAGAGGATGAATAATGTTGGAGCTATAGGAGAGCCAGTGACATCATTCACACAGGGAAGAGGATGAATAATGTTGGAGCTATGGGAGAGCCAGTGACATCATTCACACAGGAACAGGATGAACAATGTTGGAACTATGGGAGAGCCAGTGACATCATTCACACAGGGAAGAGGATGAACAATGTTGGAGCTATGGGAGAGCCAGTGACATCATTTGGTCAACTAATTTTATTCTATTGATGTCTTTATGCTGTCCGAAAATATTCCAGACTCGAATCATCGTAAGAATAAATGATTTCAGATGAAGTGATACTTTTGAGAAGGGTATTGCTGTTTACTGCCCGTCTTGTTGTGTAAATGCTCACTGCTCGCTATCCGTAGTAAGGCCACCAACATCCCTCCGGTTTTGAAGTTTCTCTTGAAAAGACACATGTACAGACCGGGTCCAGCTTAGAGATGAGTCGTCTTTCTCTGTTCGCTCTCCTGTTAAAAAGTTGCAGATGAGATGGGGGCGGCCTCTTATTGATCTTGCAACCTCTGCTGTCGAGAAGATGAGAGATACGTCATAGTGCTGTAAACTTCTTGACTGCTTTGTTTGCAAGATTTGCAACCTGGTTCTTCATAGTCAGTTTGGAATCACATTTCACGCCAGGAATTTCAACTTCATCGCGGATACCAACACTCTCCCATTCATTCTTACCACTGCTCCAGCACTACCATCATGGTGCCTAGAAACCATCATCATTTGTTCTTTATCAAGAACAAATGTGACCTGCCATAGTTTTCCCCCACGTTGATGTAGCTGTAAGATGGTGATTCATGTAGCTTAAAGCAGTTGCCATTAATTTTCTTTGATAATTGGAAGTCAGCGTATAGTCGTCTCCACATGCATGGGATTCTGGGATGAGGTGAAGATCATTGAAGCAAACATTGCATAACAATTGTCCAAGCACACTTTCCTGTGGTACGCTTGCACCAACAAAGTTTCTAGTGACTCTGTCCTATAAGAACTATTACTATTGTCTCTCTCTCTCTCTCTCTCTCTCCATTCTCTCTTTGTGGGAGCTGCTAAATAACCTATTTTGATTCAGCACTCTTCGTGAATTATAATAATTGAATTTACTGTTTAGAGTTTCGTTAAACATTGTGTAAACAGTAGAGTGGCGAGAGTAACTTCTCAGGAATATACAGCCATCCTAAAAAAAAAAAACATACCACGGGCGGGGATAGAACCCGCCCGTGGTATGGTTTGTTTGTAATCTTGTCATTACGATTTCGTGAGTCATGTTAACGGCTTTGAGGAGACTTGAGCTAGAGTTCGTCACGGCCACGCTAGCTGGAGGTTGGACGAATCTTATTGTGGCTAGCTGGTCCAGTGGCTAACGCGACGGTCTGGAGTTTTGAGACTCTCTGATCGCGGGTTCTATCCCCGCCCGTGGTATTGTTTGCAATCGTGTCATTATGATTTCGTGAGTCATGTTGTCAGCCATCCTCTTTAATATGTCTGAAACAGAAGTTTGGCAAGCTGGGTTTTCGTTCTCATAAGAAATATGTGTTAATCTTCAAAGCTTTTATTTACATGGATAATACTATATCAGTTATTCAGGTGTCGTCAGCTTAGACGAACTCTCCTTCCATCATTTCGACAAACTCTCTTTCTTTTAAAAGTGTTAAAATTTGGTAATCTCGGTTAGGTTTCCTTAATTTCGGTATTTTATCCTAGGGGAATTGTTTAAAAATAATTACTTGATAATAATGGCGTAGGAAGCCTTACGTCTGGAAGTGAGTGGAATATTGTGAAATCTTGAAATGTCATGAAGGTTGAGCTGCAGTGTCTGAGCTACGCAGTAAACTGGCATCAACAAGACAGTCCATTACTGAAAGAGGCATCGTCATAAAATTCAGTAATAAACATTAAAATCAATTTGTAAAGAATAACAAAAATCATAATTGATGTATTTCATCTTCAACTTTCTGAGCATTTAAATTTATGTATGAGCTTTGACTCCACTCTTTCTTCCAGTGGTTAGCCTTTAATTTTCATTTTTCTGTCGGTTCGGTTCTTTGTCGTCAGTACTTCTGGTATTCCTATCATTCGAGTGATCCTTGAGTCAGTTTCTTCTGCCTTTCAGTCTAAATCATCCACCACCTGTACTTGTGCGTGTGTGTGTGTGTGTGTGTGTGTGTGTGTGTACTTACCTAGTTGTACTCACCTAGTTGAGGTTGCGGGGGTCGAGTCCGAGCTCCTGGCCCCGCCTCTTCACTGGTCGCTACTAGGTCACTCTCCCTGAGCCGTGAGCTTTATCATACCTCTGCTTAAAGCTATGTATGGATCCTGCCTCCACTTCATCGCTTCCCAAACTATTCCACTTCCTGACTACTCTGTGGCTGAAGAAATACTTCCTAACATTCCTGTGATTCATCTGTGTCTTCAACTTCCAACTGTGTCCCCTAGTTGCTGTGTCCCATCTTTGGAACATCCTGTCTTTGTCCACCTTGTCAATTCCACTAAGTATTTTGGATGTCGTTATCATGTCCCCCTATCTCTCCTGTCCTCCAGTGACGTCAGGTTGATTTCCCTTAACCTCTCCTCGTAGGACATACCTCTTAGCTCTGGGACTAGTCTTGTTGCAAACCTTTGCACTTTCTCTAGTTTCTTTACGTGCTTGGCAAGGTGTGGGTTCCAAACTGGTGCCGCATACTCCAATATGGGCCTAACGTACACGGTGTACAGGGTCCTGAACGATTCCTTATTAAGATGTCGGAATGCTATTCTGAAGTTTGCCAGGTGCCCATATGCTGCAGCAGTTATTTGGTTGATGTGCGCTTCAGGAGATGTGCCTGGTGTTATACTCACCCCAAGATCTTTTTCCTTGAGTGAGGTTCGTAGTCTCTGGCCCCCTAGACTGTACTCCGTCTCCGGTCTTCTTTGCCCTTCCTCAGTCTGCATGACTTTGCAGTTGGTGGGGTTGAACTCCAGGAGCCAATTGCTGGACCAGGTCTGCAGCCTGTCCGGATCCCTTTGTAGTTCTGCCTGGTCTTCTACCGAATGAATTCTTCTCACCAACTTCATGTCATCTGCAAACAGGGACACTTCGAAGTCTATTCCTTCGGTCATGTCGTTCACAAATACCAGGAACAGCACTGGTCCTAGGACTGACCCCTGTGGGACCCCGCTGGTCAGAGGCGCCCACTCTGACACCTCACCACGTACCATGACTAGCTGCTGTCTTCCTGACAATTGTGTGTGTGTGTGTGTATCTGTGTGTGTGTGAGTGTGTGTGTGTGTGTGTGTGTGTGTGTACTCCCCTAGTTGTGGTTGCAAGGGTCGAGTCAGAGCTCCTGGCCCCGCCTCTTCACTGGTCGCTACTAGGTCACTCTACCTGAACCGTGAGCTTTATCATACCTCTGCTTAAAGCTATGTATGGATCCTGCCTCCACTACATCGGTTCCCAAACTATTCCACTTCCTGACTACTCTGTGGCTGAAGAAATAATTCCTAACATCCCTGTGATTCATCTGTGTCTTCAACTTCCAACTGTGTCCCCTTGTTACTGTGTCCAATCCCTGGAACATCCTGTCTTTGTCAGCCTTGTCAATTCCTCTAAGTATTTTGGATGTCGTTATCAAGTCTCCCTTATCTCTCCTGTCCTCCAGTGACGTCAGGTTGATTTCCCTTAACCTCTCCTCGTAGGACATGCCTCTTAGCTCTGGAACTAGTCTTGTTGCAAACCTTTGCACTTTCTCTAGTTTCTTAACGTGCTTGGCTAGGTGTGGGTTCCAAACTGGTGCCGCAAACTCCAATATGGGCCTAATGTACACGGTGTACAGGGTCATGAACGATTCCTTATTAAGATGTCGGAATGCTCTTCTGAGGTTTGCTAGGCGCCCATATGCTGCAGCCGTTATTTGGTTGATGTGCGCTTCAGGAGATGTGCCTGGTGTTATACTCACCCCAAGATCTTTTTCCTTGAGTGAGGTTTGTAGTCTCTGGCCCCCTAGACTGTAATCCGTCTGCGGTCTTCTTTGCCCTTCCCCAATCTTCATGACTTTACACTTGGTGGGATTGAACTGTGTGTGTGTGTGTGTGTGTGTGTGTGTGTGTGTGTGTGTGTGTGTGTGTGTGTGTGTGTGTGTGTGTGTGTGTGTGTGTGTGTGTGTGTGTGTGTTTGTGTGTGTGTATGTATGTGCGTGTGTGTGTGTGCGTGTGTGTGTGTGTGTACTCCCCTATTTGTGATTGCAGGGGTCGATTCATAGCTCCTGGCCCCGCCTCTTCACTGATTGCTACTTGGTCCTCTCTCTCCCTTCTCCAGGAGCTTTATCATATCTCGCCTTAAAACTATGTATTTCTTGACGTGTTTGACCAGGTGTGGATTCCAAACTGGTGCTGCATACTCCAGTATGGGCCTGACGTAAATGGTATACAGAGTCTTTAAACGAATCCTTACTGAGGTATCGGAACGCTATCCGTAGGTTTGCCAGGCGCCCGTATGCTGCAGCAGTTATCTGATTGATGTGCGCCTCAGGAGATATGCTCGGTGTTATACTCACCCCCAGATCTTTTTTCCTTGAGTGAGGTTTGCAGTCTTTGGCCATCTAAACTATATTGTGTCTGCGGTCTTCTTTGCCCTTCCCCAATCTTCATGACTTTGCATTTGGCAGGTTTAAATTCAAGGAGCCAGTTGCTGGACCAGGCTTGTAGCCTGTCCAGGTCTCTTTGTAGTCCTGCCTGATCCTCATCCGATTTGATTCTTCTCATTAACTTCGCATCATCTGCAAACAAGGACACTTCTGATTCTATCCTTCCGTTATATCGTTCACATATACCAAGAACAGCACAGGTCCTAGGACTGACCCCTGTGGAACCCCGCTTGTTACAGGCGCCCACTCTGACACCTCGTCGCGTACCATGACTCGTTCTTGCCTCCCTGTCAGGTATTCGGTGATTCATTGCAGTGCCTTTTCTTTTCTTTCGTGTGAATGGGGTGTCTTGTGTGAGTCGGGGCTGTGTGTGTGAATGTGCTCACCTAATTGTTCTCACTTAAGTGTGCTTGCAGGGGTCAAGTAATGGTTACTCTACCAATCTTTTCACTGGTCGCTACTACGTACACTCTCTTCCTGCTCCAAGAGCTTTATCATGCCTCTTCGTAAAGCTATGTATCGTTCTTGCCCCCACTACCTCACTCTCCAGATTACTCCACTACCTGACAACTCTACGGCCGAAGTTTTTCCTAACATTCCTATGACTCATCTGAGTTTTAAACTTCTTGTTGTAAACCTTTGTTCCTGTGTCACATCTCTGAAACATTCTGTCCCTATCCAATTCTCTTCAGTATTTTATGTTCTTACCATGTCCTCCCTATCCCTTCTGGCTTCCAGTGTTGTCAGGTTGAGTTTCAGTAACCTGCCCTCGTAGGACGAACCCCTCTGCTCCTGGACTAGTCTTGTTGCAAACCATTGTTGCATACTCCAATACTGGCCTAAGGAACACGATGTACAGTGTCGTGAATGATTCCTCGCTTAGATGTCGAAACGCTGTTCTCAGGTTTGCCAGGCACCAGCATGATGCAGTATTTATTTGGTTGATGAGCGCCTCATGAGATGTGCTCGGTATTATGTGTACCCCAAGATATTTTTCCTTGAGTGAATTTTGATGTCTCTAACCTCTGTCTGCGGTCTCCTCTTTCCTTCCCCAATCTTCATAACTTTGTATTTGCTGGGGTTAAACTCCAGGAGCCATTTATCCAACCAGGCTTATAGCAATTCGAGAACCCCTTGTAGGCTTACCTGATTCTCGTCCTCTAGTATTCTCCCATGTAGTTTCACATTGTCTGGAAACAGCGACACCTCTGACTCTATCCCTTCCGTAATATCGTTCACATATACAAGAAGCAACACCGGACCCAGGACTGACCCTTGTGGAACCACACTGAACACATTTACCCACTCTGACACACGTTGCTTCCCTCCTGTCAGTTATTCCCAAATCGATTCCAGTATTTTCCCTCTTATTCCTGCCTGCTCCTCTAGCTTTTGAACCAGTTTCTTGTGTGGTACTGTAACAAAACCCTTCTTACAGTCCAAGAAGATGCAGTCTACCATTCGTCTTACTTCTGCCTTACTTCTGTTAACTTGTCATAAAACCCCGTAGATTTGTAATGCAGAATTTCCCTTTCCTGAAACTGTGCTGTTGTAATTAGTCCATTCCTTTCTAGGTGTTCCATTACTCTTTTCCTGATAATCTTCTCCACAACTTTAAATACAGTTCATATCAGCAACAGAGGTCTGTAGTTTAGTGCAGCCTGTCTGTCTCCTTTCTTAAAACTCGGAACTACATTTACTGTCTTCCATACCTCAGACAGTTGCCCTGTTTCGATACATTTACCGAAGATTGATGTTATTGGCACACACAGAGCATCTGTTCCCTCTCTCAGAACCCAAGGAGAGATATTATATGGGCCCTTTGCCTTCAAGGTATCTAGTTCTCCTAAGCAGTTTCTGCACCTCTTCCTCGGTTGTGTTCAGTGTAACCATCACTTGCTGGTGCACTCTTCCACCTCGGTTTGCTAGGAGTGTGTGTGTGTGTGACTACATATTATATATATATTATATATAAAATATATATTATATATATATATATATATATATATATATATATATATATATATATATATATATATATATATATATATAATATATATATATATATTCCATGTGTGTGTGTGTGTGTTTGGTGTGACTATTATATATATATATATATTAGAATATCATATTATTTATATATATATATCTATATAATATAGAGTATCTATATATATCAATATCCATGTGTGGTGTGCGTGTGTGTGTTGTGTGTTGTGTGTGTGTGTGTCTTCAGTGTTTGCATTTGCCTGCATACATACATTCCAGAATCACATGTTCTGTTCCAATAATCATCCTCTCCCACAGGATAGTGACGGAGGACGGGTCTACATGCCCTTCGCAGACTACGGTAGGAGGGACTTCGCCCCAGTACCCATTGGGCGCCATGCCTCCTTCAGTGACCTCGGGCCTTGCGCAAATCAACCGACTACACTGTCATCCCCCATGCCAGAATTCTGCACTATCAGGAGAGTCACCAGAGGCAGTGACCTGGCTGGTGAGAACTGTAGTAATATTCTGGACACTATCAACTATCACAACACTTCAACGCTGAGACAAAATGGGAACGCCCATAATATGTCCCGCCACTCTGCTTATTCCACGGTTCTTGCTACTACCTATGGCTCTCCGCCGCCCCCTCCGTATACAAAGAACTCTAGAATAGAGTCACCACAAGGAGACACATCCCCTGCAGAAATCACATCCCTAACCCTGCCTAATTCCTTGGTTCACGCAGAGAGTGGATCCCAAGAGGCTAAATATATCTTCTCCCCTGAAGCCATGATGCAACCCGGCACACTTGTGTGACCCTTAGCTACTTCCTTGCTTGTGTGAACGTTGTGACGTTAATGAATGCTGGAATCTTACCTAGGACTGAGGTAGACTCTCACCTGGCACTGTGAGGGGTACTGCTCCGCGGTTTTCCTACAGCTCGTAAACTAGTCTTAAACAGGATCCTAGTGAGTTCTACATTAGACGTCTACGATAAGATGATGAGATGCTTCATCATGATTCCACCTAATTAATGTATGGAATATACCTCCATTATGACGGTCCAGCACATCCTCCTAATCAACGTCAGTAAATCACATTGTCGATGAACGTCAAATGTGCCTGTGACTCTGGAGTGATAAAATTATTATTGGACATTCCATTTTATTATGTGCTTGATGGTTCTACATTTTTAGTTCGTGATTTAAAGGTTTAAATATATTTTTTGAATTATTTCTAGTATTTTACTTATAAATGAGAATCTAACCTGGCCAAAACCTAAGCAGCCAAGTCTAACACTAACAACGTATATTGATGAACTGCATAAAATCGAAACTAATAATTCGACTTCTGCTTTAGGATGTCAGGTCTGACTCCGCAAAGTATCTCTTTCTTTAGTGCAAGGTTCACCTCTCCTCTGACGTCCATCTAATCTGTCGAATCTTTACATTTTTCTGTAAATTCATCACCAGCTACTGTCAACACTTCTGCTCTCTCGGGCCTCCCAATACTCACTGGTATTTCAATTTTCTCTTAGAGATTCCGTCTTTTCTGTTTCAATGAAATCTCTACGTTGTTCGTGTGGCTCGTTAAGACACTCTTCACTCAGGATATCATCAGAAAAGAGTAACCTCAGCGATCAAACCATTCCACAGGTGGGGTTTGAACCCGCGTCAGAGAGTCTCAAAACGCAAGACCGTCGCGTTAGCCATGTTGACGACTTTGAGGGGACTTGAGCTAGAGTTCGTCACGGCCACGCTAGCTGGAGATTCGTCTGTAAAAACTTGCATTTGTGGTCACAGTGGTGCCTATGCTAACCTTCCTATGGTGTAGAAAAATACCTAGTTGGAAGATTCTTATTGAAACTAGCTGGCCCAGTGGCTAGCGTGATGGTCTGGAGTTTTGAGACTCTCTGACCGCGGGTTCAAACCCCACCCGTGGTATGGTTTGTTTGTAATCGCGTCATTACGATTTCGTGAGTCATGTACTGAGTGATCACCTCGTGTTTGGACTATGGAATAATCCCTTGAGTCAAACCGAATTACGGAGACTGTCACCGACGAGTATAATAAACACAGTATTAGACTCAGCTTTGGATTCATCAAGTCTGCTTGTACTGAGAGAAGATTGAGAGGTATAGAAAATTATCCTTTTATTCATTTACATATTCGCTAATCCTCAAATGTTAATAGACTTATGCTAAGCGAGTCATTAACTCGAGAGACTTTTTAACTATCACCGTTGTCCTGTGAAGCTATGAACTGCGTCTGTATATGTCAGTTTATCAGACAAGAGAGAGAGAGGAGGACATCACATGGTAATGTTGCTTAATACATCACTATATAAATGACACAAGGTATATCCCTGCATGTGATCTGGTCTTCTAAACTCACGAGACAATATATAGCATAATTACATACTTAGCATTCATTTTTATTTTGTAAATTAAGATCAAAACCCAGAGTACCAAATAATAAAAAGTCAATGCGACGTTATGAAGGGAAGGGGACACTATTGAAGCACAGGTACGGTGACGACGATACCAGAAAACCCGATCAGGACCTAACTTCTATAATAGTAGCAATGTAATTATAAGTTTTATATGAATGGGATGGAGACACTGGGCATTTATTATTCTTATTATTATATTATTATTATTATTATATATATATATATATATATATATATATATATATATATATATATATATATATATATATATATATATATTTATTTATATATATATATATATATATATATATATATATATATATATATATATATATATATATATATATATATATATATATATATTATATATATTATATATATATATATATATATATATATATATATATATATATATATATATATATATATATATATATATATATATATATATATATATATATATATATATATACGAGAAAGGAATGATTTACACTTTATACATCTGAGTTCATATTTTCCTCCAATTCTGAAACAATGAACTGGAACTCTGTCTTGAAATTATCATAGGAACTTAAATATTTTTTGGTCGAGTGATCCAAAATGTTCTACAACCACTAGCGTCTGTAAAAATCTACTTCCAATCTTAAAGAGATAGAAATGCATAGACTGCAACTATCATCTGATACCAGTAATAGCTAGCTGTGTATGCAGCTCTTTCTGAGTGCTGGATCAGTGAGTTACAGAATTCCATGAATAGTCTCTCCTTTATGGGTGAATAGCTGCTAGTGGACCCGGGTGAAGGACATTTGTTGGTTGCTCGGTCGTACAGCATTATAATGAATCGTTTAAGAGCTTACTGAAAGGTTGTCATGTGTCAGCAGAGGCAGGCAAGGTTCTTCAAATACTTCCATGTGCGCCCCTTTTATCCTTTCGCCTTAATCTTCAATAAGAGGACACCATAAGGCATCCAGTAGTTACATAAAACACAGGCAAGGATAAACATTAGCTGAACTAGTATTTTTCTCATCCAATGACTCAAAAGATATTTGTACTCCTTCTATTCACAAAATCCATCCCACATATCAAGGCTGGTGATGCACTCAGCTGAAGTCCCTTTCACAACTAAGTCAAATGTGCATTTCCAGACTTGTACTCTCGCTGGTCAGCAAATTATACGTGAAGAAATATTCCTGTATCACATTCTTTGTACATGTTTCAGGACTAATTATATAAAAAATTAATGTGACGTGAGCTGTTGATGAGTGTTGGTAGTGGTTCCAATATTGGTTCGTAGGAGACAAGGAAAGTGAACCTTGTTGCTATAGTGGTTCGTAGGAGTGAAGGAAAGTGAACCTTGTTGCTATAGTGGTTCGTAGGAGTGAAGGAAAGTGAACCTTGTTGCTATAGTGGTTCGCAGGAGAGAAGGAAAGTGAACATTGTTACTATAGTGGTTCGTAGGAGTGAAGGAAAGTGAACCTTGTTGCTACAGTGGTTCGCAGGAGAGAAGGAAAGTGAACATTGTTACTATAGTGGTTCGTAGGAGTGAAGGAAAGTGAACCTTGTTGCTACAGTCGCGGAGTGAAGGAAAGTGCATTAGTTACTATATGGTTCGTAGCAGTGAGACAGTGAACATGTTCTAAGTGGTTCGTAGGGAAGGAAAGTGGATCTTTGGATCTTGACTCGTGGTTCTCGCAGGAGGAAGGTTAATTGAACATGTTACTATAGTGTTCTTAGAGTGCAGAGTGAACCTTGTTGCTAAGTGGTTCGTAGGAGAGAAGGAAAGTGAACATTGTTGCTAAGTGGTTCGCAGGAGAGAAGGAAAGTGAACTATTGTTACTATAGTGGTTCGTAGGAGTGAAGGAAAGTGAACCTTGTTGCTACATGGTTCGTCAGGAGAGAAGGAAAGTGAACATTGTTACTATAGTGGTTCGTAGGAGGAAGGAAAGTGAACTGTTGCTACAGTGTTCGCAGGAGAGGGAAAGTAACCATTGTTCATAGTGGTTCGCAGATCAAAGGCAGAGGACCTGTAACCATACCCACTGCGATTGAACCGCGGCTAGATCTCAAACTCCACTGTCGCGCTAGCATCTAACCACTAGCTGGTCTAGGCTAGCGCACGGCTGGAGTTTTGAGACTCCTATGACGGTTCAATCGGCCGGTTGGTATTGCAATCGGCATACATCTTAGTCAGAACTTGTTGCTACTGGTTCTAGGAAGAAGGAAAGTGACATGTTACTATAGTGGTTCGCAGAGAGGAAAGTGATATTGACATGAGGTCTGAGTAGAAAGGAACCTTTGCCTATACTGTTCGTAGAGAGGCACATGACTCACTTGTCAGAGGCTGACTCAACCCACTTGCAGAGGCTGTCTCAACCCACTTGCAGAGGCTGTCTCAACCCACTTGCAGAGGCTGACTCAACCCACTTTCAGAGGCTGACTCAACCCACTTGCAGAGGCTGTCTCAACCCACTTTCAGAGGCTGACTCAACCCACTTGCAGAGGCTGACTCAACCCACTTGCAGAGGCTGTCTCATCCCACTTGCAGAGGCTGTCTCATCCCACTTGCAGAGGCTGACTCAACCCACTTGCAGAGGCCCTCTCATCTCACTTGTAGAGGCTGACTCAACCCACTTGCAGAGGCTGACTCAACCCACTTTCAGAGGCTGACTCAACCCACTTGCAGAGGCTGACTCAACCCACTTGCAGAGGCTGACTCAACCCACTTGCAGTAGCTGACTCAACCCACTTGCAGAGGCTGACTCAACCCACTTGCAGTAGCTGACTCAACCCACTTGCAGTAGCTGACTCAACCCACTTGCAGAGGCTGACTCAACCCACTTGCAGTAGCTGACTCAACCCACTTGCAGAGGCTGACTCAACCCACTTGCAGTAGCTGACTCAACCCACTTGCAGAGGCTGACTCAACCCACTTGCAGAGGCTGACTCAACCCACTTGCAGTAGCTGACTCAACCCACTTGCAGAGGCTGACTCAACCCACTTGCAGTAGCTGACTCAACCCACTTGCAGTAGCTGACTCAACCACTTGCAGAGGCTGACTCAACCCACTTGCAGTAGCTGACTCAACCCACTTGCAGAGGCTGACTCAACCCACTTGAATTTCTTGTTTCCAGTTTCAGAGTTCAAACATTAAGAGACAAAAATTCACACAATACAATTTCAACTCTGCTACAATTCTGGATCTTGTGTATAACGTTCAGTAGAAACAATAGTTGTACATAGCAATAAAATGTCATAGAGGTCACATGACTTATCATATTAGCAACAGCTGCTTCATGAAGGAGCAATTGGATGTCGATTATTATTATTATTATTATTATTATTATTATTATTATAAAAAAGAAGCGCTAAACCACAAGGGATATACAGCAATTGGATGTGGCGCATACTCCTGTACTGGAACCAGATGTGATAAGCAGAGAACCAAGAATGGGTTGGAATGATGTCTTGTTGACACAGAACATGTAACAATGTGCTGGAACTTTAAATTGTCATTAATATATTCCATCATATGATTTGCTGCTGGTAAGATATTATCCTTATTTTAGAAACACACACCACACGATCACACGTGTGTGTGTGTTTGTGTGT